TCCATAACAAATCACCCATTCTTATAACAATAATGTACTTTTTTTTCTTTATTATAATTATTTTATATTATCAATATATTTGTTTATATTTATGGTTTAGATGTTTAGATGGGGGTCATTTATTTAATTAATTAATAGTGTATTTCGGTTGTTTATTTAATTAATTAATAGTGTATTTCTGGTGGGATGGAACTAATTAATTGGTTTTTAATTGTTTTTAATGGGGAAAATGCGAGTTGTGGAACGGATTAAAGTCGTATTTTGTCGTATTATTTCACTGTGTTGTATAATGTAGAACTTTTTTCTTTTTTCTTCTGTTCCGTCCATGCTGCTGCCACAGGAGCACGGATCCAGGTTTAACTTTTCACGGGCGTCGGTCGTGAGCAGAAATGAAAACCTGCAGCGTGTGGCTTCACTGGATTTCTCTCATTATTGATTCCCGTCTCCCGTGAGGCAGGAGAATCGATCAGAGGGATTTAGAAACAGGAGCGCTCTCTCCACCTGTCCACCTGGTTACAACGCTGCATTACATTTGGGCCGAGTCTCGACCTGAAGACGTCCACCTGTCCCGTTCTTCTGTTCTGTGTCCGCGTCCCCCAGAGCTCTGGAGTAGATCGGGTTTTTTTCAGATCTTTTCGAGAGATCTCGCAAAAGAAGCCAATATTTGTTCAGGTGAAATTTAAGACATGAATGTTTGTTTCAACATCTGGGTGGCAGACCGCAGATGGCCCACAGTCACCAACTCTTAGTTTTTTTAATTTATGGCATTTTGTTAAATGATAACTGATATGGTCATAAATAACTCAATTCAAACTAGGACGAGTGAAAGGTAACGATGTTGGGGTTTATGATTTTTGATTGTTGTAAATACTTTTTAATCATTTAAAAAATGACAGCGGCTGCAAAAGAGCGAGAGTCGGTAAGGAAAAAAGAAAGGAAAAATACTCTTTTACAGAAATTACAGCTGGCTGTAATCAAGGAAATAAAATTACCAAACTGTGGGTCACCATGGCAACCAGCTGATCTGAGCAGCGAGCACGGATAGAAAGAAAGAAATGGGAAGCGAGGCATGAAGAAACTGGAAGGAACGGGAACGTGATCTGGAACAGTCCACGTTTGGTGGGGAGTGGGCTCAACCAACAGATGGACGTCTGTTCCATGGCTCAGGATTTGGCGATAACGCCGTTAATGAGTTTGATTACGTTTTCCGCAGGCTGCGAGTGTTTGGTGTGAGCATAGCCAGAAGGTAGGAAAAAAAAATAGATGCATTTTAGTTGTGATTATAAAAAAAAATAATCAGTGGTTAAATAAACACCAGGTGAAATGAATGAAATAGAAACCATTACTCACTGTGTCAGATTAACCAATCAGCAGCTATGTTTGATTTTCAGATTCAGATTATTGACACTAATTCACCTGGATTCAAATGAATTACATATGTATATGTATATATATATATATATATATATACGTGTGTATATATACACACGTATATATTATAATTCAATGTGAGAACAAATAAGAACAATTAAATAATCTTCCACTAGTTGGCAGCAAATAGCTGAAAGCTAAAAACTAAAAGAAGAGGGTGAGATCGTTGTACTGGACGTATCTTTCTTCAATCCCTGTGAGTGTATTGACGTGGTGTTCAACTAAACTGATGCTCTCAGCCAAGACATTGACAAATCAGAGGAAAATCTCCAGGCCACGTGTGAAGGACGTTCACCCACTGCTGCTATCTTTACCTCCAACACTCCAGGTCATTTTGACATCATGAGGGGCTCGAGTGTTTCGGGGGAGAATGTGCTTCAGTTGCCATTAAATGTTGCTTAAACGCATGAGGACACTTGAAGAATCCACTTCAAAGAGCGTAGGAGAGTACGACGATGATGAGGATGAAAATAACCTGCTTATTCAACTTGGACTGAGATAATAAAAAAAACCTGTTCAAAATGAACCTTCTGTTTATGTCTGGTCCAAATGTTATTTTTGCTGATGAAACTTTTTGGGGCGGGGCTTGAAAAACAACATCAAGTGAATGTAACTCTGCTCAACAAAACACGTCCAAGACGTCGATGTGAATCATCCGTCTGGGAACTTTTCGACCTCGTCTTGTACACGTGAGTATTAAATAGGTCAGGTGAACACAGCTCATGTATTTATACAGCTGGATAGTTGGACAGAGACGGAGGAAGAAGAGGAGGAGGAGGAGGAGGAGACAAAGAGGAGACGAAGAGGAGACGAAGAGGAGCACAGATTGTGTTGTCCTCTGATGATTACAGTAAATGGCCTGACGATGGCTCCGTCTCCGTTTGCCGTTTCTCTCCATCTCTTATACCTTCTTCCCTCACTTGCTTGCTTTCTCACCCCCTCCACTCACCCCCCCACCCCACCCCCCCGGTTTCATCATGGCAGCCCATCAGCAGAGTGCCTCTCTCTCTCCCCCTAATGGCACAGTTATTAACACTAATGCATTCCAAACGTACAGCAGCTGCCACATCACAATCTGATGGAAGTACGACGTCCTCCACCGATCTACACAATCGCACCCTTTCTTTTGTTCCAATCACGTTCCTCCACTGCACGTTGTGTTAAACGTGGTCATCGGGGGCCGATGAGACCGACGGACTGATGATGATGATGATGATGATGGTTCATTTCTGATCGACTTCTGATGACACTATTTAAGTAAATATGATCGAGATATATTTTATGACTATGTAAATGGGTGTGGGGATGGGGGGTCATGGGTTTACAAGATTATTACAACACCAGGTGGCGCTATACATGGTAGACGGCTTTGTTTACACCAACTATTGGATTGTGCTACATTCACTTTCTTTCGTTTCACAGGCGTTAGTCAGACGTTTAAATAGAGTTTTAACAGTTTCAGTTCTAATTCCATATAAACTGTAGTCATGAATAAATAAATCAGGAACTGAAATATAAATGTAGATTTGGAATTATTAAAAAATGTTTGATTTCTTACTTAAATCACTCTGTCTCTTCATTAACTCAGTTCAGTAAACTTCACCTTCACCAAAGGTTTGGTTTTAATCAGTTTGCCAACGTCTAACATTTCTGACATGGGTTTGAGGCCCATGGTTGGACCAGTACTTTGAGGAACAAAGGTTCTGTTTTTTGGCTCCTCATCATCACAGTTCAGATTTTAATAAAAATAATCACTAAAATAAACTGTTGCTCTGACAGACAATGGTTTAGTGCCACACAGGGACGGGCACCTGACCTTGAGAAACCAGAGTCAATCCAACACTTTAACGTCTATTTCACACACCATTTCTCCGCAATGGGTTTAAAGCCCAGAACGACCATCACCACAGTTGTTACAATCAACATGTTGACATGGATAATGTCCGGCGGTCGGGACGATCTGAAAACTCTGCTCCGCGGTGGGGAGGGCGTGTGCAAATGAGGGGGGAGAGAGGGAAGGAAGAGGGGGGAGAGAGAGAGAGGTAACAGCTGTGATGGCAGCCGCTGTGAGGAACAGGCGTGTCATTGAGACGCTGTGATGTCACCGTTTGCTGAGCCAAGCAGATGGGCCGGGCCAGGTACACACCGTGAACACACACACACACACACACCAACACACAAACAACCGCATCTGAGGTCATATGGCCACGTTAGAGAGTGTGTGTGTGTGTGTGTGTGAGGTCAGACACACACACACACACACACTCTCAGCCTGTCTGTCAAAACACGGCCTCTGATAAATAAAAGCCTTTTTCCATTTGTTGGACAGGCTGCTCTTTAAAATGCACTGCCGTTCTCCTACCAGGCCCAGAGAGCGGGGCGTCCTAATCTCATCTGAGTGTCACTCAGTGTTCACCCACAGAAGAAATTAGGAAAGGGCAAAATCCACAAACTGGGGTTTTTTTATTTTTCCTCCCTATGA